AATCCCCTTGTGGAGGCCGGCCCGGTGACTCCTGTTCCTTCTCAGCCAGCCTGTGTCTGCAGAGCTGGGAACAGGCCCCTTGCGAGGCAGTTTTATCACAGTTTCCTGCAAGCCATGATTCACTGTCAAGCGCACCCACAGAGATGTCGCTGCTCCTCCAGAGGCGGCCCAAAAGAGTGAACCGCTGGGCCCAGAGTGAGGACACTGGGCTGCTGGCCAGCTCAGCCACCTGCTCCCTTGCGCCCTTCTCCCTCTGGGCTGGGGTGTTCCAGATGAAACCGGGTGCATCCGTTCACTCTCTGGGACATAAGTGCTCTGAGATCGCTCTCCCTCTGGCCAGTCCTATCTCGTCCTCACAACCCAACTCAAACGCCACCATCTCCGGAAAGCGGGTCTCTTCTTCAGTCTCTCGCTCCCCCGTGGTTTCTGTCGCTGTCATATTGTGTGTGTGGCCGCAGAACCCAAGGAGGTCTCTGTACACTCACCCTCCTGTTTCCCCGGCTGCAAAACGGCGGGGTTTGGAAGCTTCAGCCTTGGGGACCCCGCCTCCGGGCCGTGCCAACAGGCATAGGGGAGCCGCTCCGGGAGCCTGCTGCCCTGCTCCCTGCCTGTTTCCCCTAACGGAAATAGAGACTCCCACTTAAGTAAAAATTTTGGTGAGGCCCCACCAAAAAGTGTAGACCTTTAGGCGGCTTCCCCCACGTCTGTGTTCAGTCTCCCCAACCCCCGAGAACGCGCTTAGTACAACCCGGGGATTCCCCCGCTAAGGCCCGCCCCGGACGTCACGGAGTCCCCGCGAGGCCCGCCCTGTCCCCCCACCCCACCCCGGGACCGCACGCAGAAGGCGCTCTTCCTGGAGCTGGTGCCGGCCTGTGAGTGCACCCGAGGGGCCGGGCTCCGGGCACACCGGAGTTTGTCTGGCTCTCCTGGCTGTGACCCAAGGGCACTGGTGTCTTCTGTCTTCCGGGGTCCCGGGCCTCGAACCTGGCTGTTAGACCCTCTGTCCGACCGACTGGGATTTCCCGTTCCAATCCTGGCTTTGCTTAGAACGTTCCCCTGGGGGAGCCCCGTCTGGTACCCCAGCCCTGTTCGCCCCTTGATGTGCTCTGCCTGCAAGAGCTGGGCTTCCTGGGTGCAGGTTCGTCCCGAGGGCGGGTTCGACAGAGTGTCTGTGCCTCCCGTCGCTCCGGGCGGTCTTCAGGTGCAGCCCTGTGCAGAGCAGACGCTTGTTAGCCTGTCCCCCAGTGAAACTGGGTCTGTAAGGGGGAAGCGGGGATGGTCCTGGTGCAGGTTTGTAGCGCACCTCTGCGTCCAGCCCAGCCATTCCTAGCCCCAGCCCCAGCTCCAGCCCCAGCCCCAGGGACAAGCAGGCCAGGCTCTCAGGTGGTTTCTGGGCAGCTGGTGAGGCGGGCAGGGGAGTGGCAGTTCGGGGTGAACAGGTGTGTGGCTGGTCACCTGAGCTTGTCTGCAGGTGAAGGTCTAACCCCAGTCCCTGCTCGTTCCTCACTGGGGCTCATCCTGGCCATGCTTCCATGGCCCAAACTGCTCATCCTGGGGACTCTCTCCCTTCAGGGGTGCGCTGCCAGCCCCCCCACTCCAGGCAGCCTCACTTCTCCACTGCTCTGGTGGACAGTGGAACTGTCCAGCCGATGAAGGAGCCAGCCCTCACTCACCTCCCACACTGCGACAAGCTGCCGGTCTCAGGCACCTGGAGAGACCCTGGAGGTCCAGTCATCTGTGTGGTCTTGGGCAGGTCATATCCCGAAGCCTCAGGCTTCCTACCTGTGAATTGGGCATAATGGGATCTTCGATTTGCTGGGGGTGGGCAGCACAGTGTCTGGGGCTGAGGTGGGGTTTTGTGTGAGAGCTAGGCCAGACCCAGGGACCTCAGTCAGGGTTACAGGCACCGGGTGAGGGAAGGGAGCCCAGGAGCTAGGCCTGAGCTTCTCGCCCACCTCACCCCACCCCACCCTGGAACTGGTGAGAAAAGGGGAAGTGACCGTGGACAGGGAGTGTGACCCAGTGTGAAACCACGACACACATGAAGGTCTGCGGGAACCTGGTCAAGGACTTTGTATTCTGACCTGAGGAAATCACACACCAGCTCTGGGGAAGTTAGCATTAGTTTTTAGTCCACACAGCCAGAGAGCCCTTGGAGGGGAAGTGACTTGCCCAAGATCTTGGGGGGAGAGGGAGGAAGGCAGAGCTTGGTTTGTTTCATCAGTGTGGGGCCAGGCAGTGCCCTGGGGTAGGGATTAATCAATCTTAGGCCCCTTCCTTCCCTCAGGCCTCTCATGGGGCGGGGCCTTCACTGTGCTCAGCACTGGCCATCCTCTGCCTGGTGGGTCTGGGGTCCAGTTCTGTGAGGGGACCGTGCCAGGGCTGAGGGTCCTGTACAGACACCCGTCTGGGGCAGAGCCAGGCGCCGGTAGTGCCCCTCTCCCCAGCAGCTCTGGGCACCTCCAGCCTCCTAGCCAGAGACAACTCATAACCAGGGATCTCCTGGAAAGTACCTGCCTCTGCCCCAGCTTGCCCTATTGTACCCCCAGATAACCGGCTCCTGGAGAAGGCAGAGCTGCTGGCCAAGGTCTCTGAGAAGCTGCAGCAGGAGCCACCAGCTGTCACTCCTCCCACCCGCCAGAGCCCCAGGTGAGTGCACGTGTGTGTCGGGATGGGTTTGCCGGGGTCAGGTCCCTGCCCCACCACCTATGCAGGGCTTATTGTCTCCCAGAACCTCATCTGCGCCTGCCGGCCTGGGGCCAGCTCAGCTGCCTGCTTAGAATCCCGTTTTCCCCCAGCCCTTCTCATCCATCTTTCTGCATTTGTCCCACCTCCTGCTCCCACTCCCTACAGCCGTCTTTCCCCCTTCTCAGTCTTTTTCCACTTCGCTGTTCCTTACCCGATGCCCACAGAGGGTCTCGCTACCTACTCCAAAGAGGAGTGAAAGAACCAAGAATGGGTGGGGGCTCAGCGTTGGGAAATGCTTCTTGGGGAGGGTCCTTTGCTAGGGAACCCAAGGCCTGGGGGTGTCCTAGAGCCCAGGAGCCGAGGACAGCCCTTTCTGGAGACATGCTCCTTCCTTTATTGGCTTGCCGGCCTCTGCTTTCCCCAGGAAAAGTTCGTGGCTCATTTTAGACTTTTCATGTGGCCTCCCGTGGGCACTGGGGTGAACGCAGGGGGACAATGAGCTGCACTCTGATTGGTTGGCAGGGAGGAGGAGTCAGGGCCTGGCTCAGACCAAGTCCCAGCAATAGTCACCTTGCGGACCAAGTGGCAGGAGAAGGAGGAGGGGGTCCGGCTGGAGTGTGGCAAGGTAAGCGGGGTTGGGCCCAGCACTCCTCTCCCAGCTCCTGCCAGACAGTCCCTACGGCTGTGCCAGGGCAGGGGGAGTGGCTTTCTCTTAATTCTCCTTGGTACAGTTTCACATGTCACTGCAAGCATGTATCATTATTATTATTTAACCTTTTATTTTAAAATAGGTATAGAGTCACAGGAACTTACAAATATTGTACAAGGGAGTTCCTGTGTACCCTGCCCTGGGTCCTCGTGGTTACATCTGTGTAACTACAGTGCCCACAACTCGGAAACTGATGTGGGTGTGAAGTGGGCACATACAAGTTCTCCGTTGTTCAATCACGTGCAGGTTTATGCAACTGTCAAGATCTGGCACTATTTCTTGTCCTTCAAAAAAATTTTTTTAATAGACAAAGGGTGTGTACATTCACCAGAGAAGGGGAGAGGGAGAAAGCACCCCCCCCATGGGGTGTGGATATGCCACAGTCCCTTCTCCTCTTGTCAGGATTTTGGGCACACATATCCAACATGTTTTTTCTCCCTTTATTTATTTATTTTATTTTAATTTAACCAAAGAAGAACAGAGAAAGAGAGAAAGTGAGAAAACAACTCGCCAGGCCCAGGACACGAACTGTGGTTGGCCATGTGGGAGTCCAGCACCCTTAACTACCATGCCACCTGCTGGCCCCAGCCAACCTGTTTTTCAAGCTAGTGAAGTAGGAACTCAAACCATGGTCAGCCATGTGGGATTGGCTTCCTTAACCATTAGACTATAGGGCCACGATTCCATCACAAAGTTCTCCTTCCCGCTACTCCTTTCTAGTTAATCATCCTCTTTCTGCAAGCATCCCTCAATCTTGACAACTATGAACCTGTTTTTTACCTTTTTTAAAAAATATTTTGAAAAGTATAAAAAAAATTGAATAACATATAATACCACATAAATAAAAGCAGATGGCAAGTGAGGAAGTGGAGGTGGTGACCGGATTGCTCAGTGGTGAAAAGAATCATCACAGTTACAAACGGGGCTATGAAACTAGGTGTCCTGTCCTGCCTGGGCAGGGGCCCTCCCCAGGCCACTCACATTGGCAGTGTCATTGGTACAGGTGGACAGGGCCAGCCTTGCTCCTCAGTCTGTTCTCACTAGGCCCATGTGACAAAGAACACAGGAACAGGTGGGCACAGGGGTCGCCAGCCTCACTTATTTCCTGGGCCAGAAGCTGAGGGCCTGTGCCCCTCCTGTTCCTCCTGCCACCTTGGTGGGAACTGCCTTGTCCTGGGACCGTCTTTCCCATTGACACCCACCCCCCGCCCCAGCACCAAAAAGTGAGATTTTGGCTTCAACCCTGGAGTTTCTTTAGCTCATGGCTCTCTGCTGAAAGACTACTGAGTGAGGCAGGGGTGCTGATGAGATGCCCTCACCCCACTCCTGGGCTGTGGGGGCAGCAGTCCTGGTACTCATTTGGGGCCCTGTCACCACACTCCATTCCTGTTCTTGGCCTGTGCGCCTCTGCTCAGGGCTCCTTGCTGCCCCGAGATCCATGCTCTGATGTGCTAGGAAGTGAGGATGACACAGACAGAACTTGTGTCCCTTGAGCCCCTCCTGTGGACCAGTTTTATCTGGAGCATAATATAGCTTGTGTGCCCTGGGTTCAAGTGTCGAGTTCAAGCTCTGCCACTTAGCTGTGTGGCTTCAGGCAAGACACTTAACCTCTAATGAGAATGGCAGTACGTACTTATGGAGTTACTATGGCATAAGGCGTTAACAAGCCTGGCACGCGTGAGTGCTGTATAAACATGCAATGCCATGTTACTCCCCGCTAGTCCGGCAGTCCCCTATGAGGAAAGACCTATAATTCCCACAGTGCAGGCCAGAAAGGGGCAGACTCCTCTTGCCAGAGCACTTAAAGGACTCTGCTAGGGTCACAGAGGAAGTAAGTGGCACCGCAGAATCGAAAGGCTTCAGGCTTCAGAGCCCAAGGCCCTTCCACAAAATAGCAGCGCATCCTTGTGCAAGATCCTAAACGCACCTGAGTGCTGGCCAGTTCTTGTTAGTAGGGCAGGGGCGGAATGGCAGGGGGGCCCG